ACACACATACACACACACACACACAAACACATACACACACACAAACACACATGCACATTCACAAAAACGCGCTATTGGAAATGGGCATAGTAATCATTATTCATCCTTGTCTTCTATTGACTTTACAGCGTTGAAAGGGGTGATGAATTCGTGAGATTATCATTATCAGCAACTTACACTAGGATACAAGGGCATGGGTAAACCTTCACTGGATGGTGTTTAAGTGGTCCTTCAAATGAATAAAATTATATCAACAACAGAATATATCCACTTTGCCCTTGATCAAAAATTAAATTGCAACACACTCCTTTCGACATCTAACGATACGTAAGAAAGGATTAAAATTAAAGCTAAATAAAGTTAAAAGTTTTTAAAAAAATAAAATAAATCAAAATAAAGTAAAAAGTAACAAAAGTAAAAGTAAAGTAAAATAAACCGACTTACAGGGATGCAGGACAACCAAAATGCTGCGACGTCATTTCGGAAGCTTTCTAAGAAACCAATAGACAACACAGCAAGAACACCTGAAATAAAAAGAACACATAGAAGCATAAGAAAATTATAGTAATAGTTTTACGGCACTTGCCACACAGACAGGTCATAATATAAGCGACGAAGATTAGAGGTGTCACCAGAGAGTAGCTAACAAAAAAAAAAAGCAAAAAGAGAGAGAAGGAAGAGAAGTTACTCTCGTGTAAACAAAATATTTTTGTATAGTTTTTTTAACATTTTTTGTTATAGTAGAGGTTTTACGGCGCTCCCAACTGCGTACTGTCATATGAGCGCAAGAAGATTAGAGGTGTTAAAAGATATTAACAAACATAAAAAAGAAGGGGGGGGAGATAACGACGATAGATGTTTGATAGGAAAGATGGAGTAATCCACACCAGAACACCCGCTATCCACCCACAGAAATAGAAAACAGTACTATGTCAATCATGTGTACAGGTATAATATCTTACACCATCAATTCCAATACGTGTCTTCATAAATGTGAATCCTTAATAAAGGATATTGAACACCATCTCCTTGAAGTATAATCAGGGGCGAAGGCTGACTTGTTTGACTGGGTAATCAAAATGAAACGGGACCAGATATGGCCTGGGGATATCACACAAGAACCTTGCTCGAGGCGGCGACTCAGAGTTGTGAATGAAAACAAATCC